GGGAGAGTTAGGAGAGAAAGGTCAGCAGGGAGCAATTAGGTAAGTCCTGGGTAGTCTCTGAAGGTGAAGAACGGGGCATAACTGCCCAGTTCAGCTGAGGAGTGGATAGATCAAGTGAATAGGAGATAAAGTTTCTCTTGTAAGACTTTCATTAATGTGAAGGAGAGAAAGGCTTGATAGGGAAAAGGAGACTCATGGCAGTTGACCAAAATGAGAAGATTATGTGTATATGACAGCTGATGAGAGGGAAAACCCTGCAATGGGGAATTTCAAGGTGGAAGCTAAAAACAACAGCAATGAACTTGGGATGTGCTTTAGATGTGATTTGGGATTTCTTTCCCAAAGGATCAGGAAAGGAGGGATTAGGTGCAAATCCAGAGAATACGTGGGTGGAAAGCAGAGAAAACTGGCCCCTTGAGGATACCAGTCTCAGCTCTGGGCTCTCAGAAGTGAGTTCTCAAAACTGTGGGATGCTGATGCAGAAGCTGTTTCAAAAAAGCAGTGAAGAACTTCAGTCAGGGCTGAGCAATGGTGTCAGTGCTGAGGTCATGTATATGGGAAAGATAAAGCCTAGCCGCAGGAGCGTGGGGTCAGGGAGACTCACCAGCAGTTTGGGATCAGATAATACTTCAGTGAAACCAGCAAATCTCATGTTTAGTGGAGTGGTTCACCTCTTCTGGCCTGAAATGGTTAACCCGTAAGGCCCCAGCCAGCCCTTCCTCCCAAGATGCAAGCATGATGGTGTGGGATTTGGCATGAATGGGGGCACCCTGCTCACTATCTGTATAAAACCGAGGAAGCAGGAAGACCATTGGGAAGGTCTTCATGACTCTTACACACAAATGAGAACAATTGTGCATCCTCCTCAGATTTGTTTTGTGGATAAAATGAGATACAATTTGAAAGTATTTAGCTCCTGGGAAGTATTCAATGTATGTGGATTTCCCTTCCCTCCTGCCTTTATTTTTACATACAATGAGTAAAGAGAAGAGAAAATAGAAGGGGATCTAAAGGTACAAAACTCCAGTTATAAGCAAGTCCTGTAATGTACAGCATGGTGATGAGTTTATAGCACTGTGTTATAGCTTTGAAAGTTGCTAAGAGATCTTAAAAGTTCTCTTCACAAGAAAAAATATTTGTAATTATGTGAGGTGAGGGATGTTAACTTACTGTGCTGATCATTTCCCAATATGTGCAAATACCAAATCATCATAGGGTACACCTGAAACCAACATGTCAATTATACCTTAATAAAAAAATGTTTTAATATTTTAAATTAAAAAAATACAAGAAAAGGAAAAAATAAAAGTAGCTAACATTTGACTTCTGTCTCTCTTCCTAGTATATGGTCTTAGGGAATTTAACTTCCTGTGCCTATTTCCTCACGTGTAGAATGGAGATAATAATAATATCCACATCATGATGAAGGCTGTGAAAGTAAAGAGAGGTAACATGATGTAAAACACCAGGACAGGAGACAGGACCCAGCACACAGCAAGTCGCTATCTTCCTGTTAGCTATTACTGGTTTGGGGCGTTTGCTAGGAGCCAGGTGGGTGAGAAGTGCTTTCTGTATGGTGGAACCCATGGAGCTCCAACTTAGGGGCCCTGTGTCTACAACACTCCCTGTGGCTGCCTGAAGGTCCCTGATGGGAAGGCCTCTTTATACACGTGTTATCTAATCCTCATGGCACACCTGCCAGGTAGGTATTAGGGGCCCACAAAACCTCATACAACACCTTGGGGGCAGATCTTTCCAAAATTCAGAATTGTGTTTGGATTTTATAGAAATAATATAGGGCATCTATCACAGACTGGCCAGCAGAGTCAGGGATAGAATCCTATAAGCAAACACAGTGGTATTTCTGCAAGTAAATGTACAGACATTCACCCCAGTTGGATAAAAATGACTATAAATAGCATCACATCAATTCAGGTCTGGTTTTACAGCCAAATGAGTTTGTATCAAATTTAGGAAATATCTCGCCACTTATGAAACCTTTTAGATTCCAGATCTATGTATAAATGTGTAGGTGAATTATTCTCTGTATTTTGCAGATGAGGAAAATGACGTTTAGAGAGATTAAGATGCGAAACATCCCACCACCAGCAAACTACAGAGCTAGGAGTCAGACTGCGGTGGCCTGACACTGGATTTCTTGATCTTAATCTCTATACCACATTGCTTCCCGAGGAAAGGAACAAAAGTAAGAAAGTGACAACGAGGACAGGAGAAGAAACTACTCCCAAGTCCAGAGTGAAGGTCAAAGCCTTTGGCATAAGCATAGCCATAGGTTCTCTGTGCAAAGTGCCTCACATACTTATTTCACTGCATTTTGACATCAGTTCTGTGATGTGGGCCCTATCCTCATTTTATGGGAAGGAAACTGAGGCTCAGAGAAACTGATTAAGTTGTTCAGGATCTTATAATGAGTAAGGGATGAGCTGATTCCCAAGCCTCCATTCCTACCCCAGCGGTCACAGGGCCTCCCCGAGTCAAGCCACCGTCTCTGCCCTTGACGGTGTCTCCTTGGTTCTCTTGTCTTTTCCCTTATCTTTGTTTCTTGCTTTGTAAGTGTGGAAATAGCATACATTTGATGGGCCGTGGAGGGCTAGCTCAGCACTTGCTCACTGTAGCCCTTGACAAATACTTGGTGGGTAGAAGGACGTTAGGGGGACAGCTGTGCTCAGGAACTGACCCGGGAACTCCTGAGTTTCCTGCCCCACCTCCCACCTTGCTAGTTGTGTCCAGATTGGAATGACTGCGTGTCCCAGATTGCCTTTGACCATCCATTATACTCTCGTTGTTCCATTTTTATGGCACCCCTCATTCTCAGAAGTGTCCCCACTGGGGCAATAAAGTCCTTGGCACATAAGCAGAGGATTTTGGAACTCAAAAGGGCAAGCTCCCACAAAGCTAGTATAAATGATGTCCTATCCCTGTCCCCTCCTACCACCCTGGGCTCTGAGAAGGGAGCACTGGAGATGTGGAGGCAGCTTACATGCAAACATGGTCTGGGGAAGGTGGCACCAGCTGCCCACCACCCTCCCGGAAAGGGTGCCTGGTACTGGGCCCACCCCAGGCTGTCATAAAGGGACCCCAGCAATAGGGCAGGGATGCCAGCAGACCTGCCTGACACGCCCCCACCCAGCCCTAGGCTGCTGCCCTACCAATCTCTGAGGACCCCAGATAAGCTCGTGTTCCCATCCAAAACCTTCCCAGGAGCCTCAAGTGGGGTGCAGAAGCAGACTTGAGGGAGCCAGGTGTCATTACAAGGGGGATGGAGAGAGAGACCTCTGTGTGGGCCTGGTGACTAGACAGTTAGACCCAGGAACACCACGTAAGCCCTCCAGAAGTTTGGATATATCCCTCCCACACAGCCCTAGGAGAAAATGAGAAGGGTTAAATCCTGATAATAAGCTTAGGCCTAAAATGATAGAATCCACTGAATTGAGTAGGAAAAAGTAGGTGTAACAAAATTCAGCTTTCTGCTTTAGACGGAGTGGGGGCTCAAGGTAGAAGCTGTTACAGAAAAAAGAAATGGGTACATTCTGTACCTCTGTGAAGGACCGGCTGCCAAGGAAATGTCTAAGGCCTATTTCGAGCAGCCACAGGCAATGCTCAGGGGTCAGGCCGAGTATAGGGCTGCTTGTCCCTGTTTATCAAACAATTGTTTTGTAAAACTGTGTCAAGTGCCTCAGAGCACAACTCCTCAGACCCTGTGTCCCATTGTATAAAGCCACAAGGAGGGACAGAGCAGGACTGGATGGAGGGGAGGTGGGAATCCCCGTGCAGAATGCTATGAACAAAGAAGCTGAACTGCACAGATTCTGCTGGCTTAATGTGCTCACGGGATTCTTTCTGAAAATATCTCCCCAAACTGACAAATAGTAAATGCCAAAGAAATGTTTGTCCTCTTTCAAAATCAGAGCAGTGGGTCTCTTGGTGATGGTGGGTTGTGTGATATTTTTCTCTTGTTTGATTATATATTAAAAGCAGTTTTGAGGCACATGCCTTGAGGAGGGACTCGCATGCCCAGAATGCAAGGCAGTGCCTTCTCCCTCTTTACACTCTTTTTATGTGTTCATCTGCATTGGATGAGGCTCTGGGTAGAAAGTGTGGGACTCACAAGTATGAGGAAGCATGTGTGCACCAGTGGACAGGTAGAGGTAGCCAAGATGATGAAGGGATGGAAATTAGTGAGACTCAGAAAACTGACGGAGTAAATTAAGATGGCAATTCAAGAAATCCTTCATTGTTTCTTGTCTCCATATTCCATCTCTTTCAGAAAAATTAATGCAGAAAAATATAGAGATTAATAAAACACATACCTTGAAGTCACCAAATGCTATCATTTTGTCATATTGGCTTAGGATTTTTATGTCATGAAATAAAAAGAAATGATGGACAGTTAAATGCCCTTTGTTCTCTTCTCTGATCCTGTTTACTCCCCTCCTTACCCAGAGGTAACAGTATCATGGAGTTGATGTTTTTCCTTCTAACTCTTCCTTTATTTTTATACATACTCACTCATAAACAACATACATTACTGTTTTGTGTAAGTTTATATGCTTTTTTACTTCTTCAATTTGCTTTGTTCACTCAGAGTCACAGTTCCATTGCTCAGGCTGTACACTGAACAGCTCCTGAGGCCCCATTCACACAGACCACTGGGAGAGTGGCTTCATTGGGAGTGGGCAGTATGGCAGCCCTGCATTCCACATTGTTTTGAGATACATGTTGACACATGATAGATTTTATATTCATCTTAATTACTGCATAGTTTGCATCATATGGCTGTGCCACATTTTATTTATTGATTTCCTTAGGGGAAGACAATATTTTGCTACTGTGAACCATGCCAGTGAACATCCTTATACATGTCTTCATATGGCCAGGTACACAAGTTTCTTTGGGGAAGCACTGTTCTTTATTCTGAGGTGGCTATAATTAAAAAAATTATTCTACTGAGCATTAGAATACAAAAAAGACAAACATGGTAAAACTTAAAATATTTATTAGTATGAATCTGTGTGTGTTAAACCCAAAATAACAGATACAAGCAGGCAATTTTGAGGGCAAGGCAGTACTGTAGAATACAAGGTGGAAAGGTCTTAATTGTCTGCAGAGGCGTCTTCTATATGTAATAACTGGGTCCAGCCCAGACAGAAGCCTTTATAAAAACACAAGAAAAAGAAGCAGTTTATACAACAGAGCACTGAAATTGGATCACTGGGTCTGGTTTCAACAGTGTTGGTTGAAAGAATAAACTAGATACCTAATAGGTCTGAATACAGCTCAGAGCCCTTCAGTTTATAAGCTAGCTCATTACTCAGCTTGCCATGAGCTTTACAGAGCAATGAGAAGTGGAGTGCCCTAGAGGGAGCTCAGTTTCAGCCATTACATGCCATATTCCTGAATTGAATTCTCACTGGGGCACAGCCCATTTGTTGTCTAACGGTTAGTTTTAGGTCTTCAACCTTCTATAGTCTGCAAGGTAATGTCAGAGTCAGCACCTTAATGTACCATTTTCAACTACAAAATGGCAAGTCAAATGTGTACCTATGTAAAATGTCTCATGATGCCATTCCCATCTTAGGGATGTTCACTGGGAAATAATCCCTATGAGAACCCATGTCTACACCATATAACACACAGTCATGACCCAGACTTGGCCAGTGACATGGATTACATGTCAACATAACAAATATGATATCCTATTTACACATATACACACATACACTGCTCATGAAAGGAAGGAAGAGGAAAAGGAGTACATTTTGGAAAGTTAAGTGAAGGATGTTACATCACATGAAACTACTTGACATTCTGGAGCAATAGTAATTTCCAGGCCTTTACATATTATGTGGTTATAGTTCAATATTTAGAACAGCCAAAGTAATCTCAAAGCAAAATAAAGGAAGATAAGAAAGCCTCATTGTGGACAAGGCTTGAGAATCTATCCTCAGAGAAGAGTCCTTGTTTATGCGAACACTTGTGTGCTCAAAAGCCATCTGCTCTTTTCACCAGTTGCTCTGAGTAGTGATTATATATACACATACTGTCTTGAATAGTTGAGGCAGCACAGAAAGGTAAAAGAGTTGTTCACCCTCCTATGCTTCTGAAAATAAACCCATGGGCTCATTTTTGGGTAGCTTGCTACATGTGGTTAAGACCAGCTATTTCATGCAGCCACCGAATACCCAGCCCAAAGCTGTGAACCTTGCTGGGGTGTGTGCCATCTCAGCTGGGCAACCAGATTGGCTGGCTAGAGATCAGACCAGGTTCTCAGAAACAGCTAGGTGAGGAAACATTCCAGAAAAAGCCTGCATGTCACCTGGAAAGATGTCATTTAATTTGCAACCTAAATTTTTTAACTTTGGAAAGAGGCATGATAACCACTTGGCCTGCAAGCAGTATCATGTCAGTAATGTGGAGAAAACCCTAAGACTCCCTAAAAAGGCCCAGCCATGACATCCAAATGCCACTTGCTTATAGTTTTGGGGGTACCTGTCTGAGAAAGCTAAGAGGCACTTTTGGACCAAAAATAAGTATTGCTAGCCCTCATGTCCTTAGATTGTCAATTACTCTTGTAAGTTGGGTGAAGCAGTAAGAATATCAAATTGACAGCATATTTGTGAGTTAAAAAAACCTGAGTCTGTGATTTCCACCTGTATTCTGTTCGCAGTCCACATAAAGAAGTGTAAACTGGGCCCTGGTCTCTCAAGGACTCTTGCTTTTTTGTCGATGGCAGCCTCAGAGTCTCTCTCCCTGTTGAAAGCATGGTGGGCACAGCCATGACAGGACCCTGAAGCACCAGCTTATACTGAAAGCTCACGATCTTTAATCAGCTTACTATCTCTTTCCTGGCTTTTACGTTATAGGTTTTCAATTAATGTTTGCTGGGCCTTGAATATTCCTGGCAAAGAAGGTTCCAGCTGGCCCCACTACCACACTACATGATCACCACTTCTGAGGCTGTCCTTCTGAAGTTCCTCCCGCAAAAGTCACTGATCTGAATATCCTTTAAGAATCACCTCAGTACAACCCCTACTAGGAAACCGACTGCTCCTTGGTTCCAGGTTTTTATGAAGCTACAATGGTAGTAGGATTTGAATTTTCCAATGGGAACAGCTTTTTTTCGTTTCCATGCCTTCTTTCCCTTTACTTCGTTGGATTCAGGCATCCTTAATTAACTGAACAGACAGGGAAGCTGAAAAGGAAGGTTTTATTGAAGCCTATTCTCAGCTAATTGGCACCACAGGGCCAGACCTCTGGTTAGCCCTAATACCCACCTCCCCAGCTTGGCACCTTCTCAAATGCTTTCTCCAATTTTCTAGTTTTGGGGTCTACAATGTTAAGGTGCTGATGCTTCTTCTGGCTGGCTTTCCTGTAACATATTATTAATTCATATGCTTAGAAATTTGTCCTATGATTTAGACTCAAATATCCTCCAGTTAATTCCTTCCCCTTAGATGTGACGCTATGACATATCCTCTTAGTAAAATAATACTGTTTGTTAAGCTTCTCTAAGAGAGTAGGAATTCATTACTGTGGAGGTGATGCATACCAGGTGACCCCTGGAGTCATATTTATACCCTACATCTGTCACTGCTTACACAGTAACTACTTAAATGACCCTTTCAAACCAGGCCACCCAATCCCCAATGTAATTTTTATGTAATTAAAAAATATATGCAATGTAATTTTTAGTCAGATGTGGTTTTGTTTACATAAGACAAAATTTAGAAAAATGTTCACCAAGTAAAAGAGATGTAGACAAAAATTGCTAATACATCTTTCTACACTTTGATAAGAGCTCAAGTCTATAGCTTGAGCGATGGTCCATTCACACTCCACTGAGAGGTAAATTAGCCTTTTGGCGAAGGCTGGTTAAATAACAAAGGCAACTGAGTGGAAGAAATTCCAAAACTTTGGCTAGGGAGCCCGGGAAATCACAGTGGAACACAACACATTACAAGCCAGTAAGACTTTTGTACAAATGTAAGAATATTTTAAGGTTTTTAACAAAAAAACTCAACTGTACTTATCACCTAACATCCGTTCCATCCCGTGTGTATTTCACACACTGAAGGCCATCTTTTGGTGGTGTGGTGGATTTTTTCAGAGTTTAAAAAATCCTTTTCCAGGGACATTTTCTGCCCTGCAGATCTTCATGATGCCAAGCTGGCGCGCTCACTTCTCTCTAGGTAAGGCGCCAGACCACCAGGTATGGGAGGCCCTTCAGCAGTGCACAGGGAGGTGGGCGCTGGCGTCCTCACATGCGGTGGATGCGGCCCAGGGGTCAGCAGCACCGCCGGGTGCCTGGTGTGGGGGGCTTCAGAAGTTTGATTGCTCCGTTGTTTGCATTTTCACGGGGGTCCAAGGGTGGGATCTGGCGACCTGGAATAAAATGGAGGTCAAGGTTGAATTCCTTTTTCCCAGTTGACACCACAAACAGACTGTAATCCTGCCTCAACATCTCCACTAAATGCCTGGGTTGTACAGAAAGTGGCAGGTCTACAGGAGTAGCTCTTGTCCCCTCTTCCCTCATTCCTTCTTTCCTCGCTGTGTTGCATGAAGTTAAAATCATGTTTAAAAGTTAAGGAAAAGGAAAAGCAGATTCCTGAGAATATGCACTTCCCTGGACTGGAACCCCACCCGTGCTCCTGAGTAAGGGAGAAAGTCCCCACCCTCCTCCTCTACACAAACTTCAGCCCACTGGTTCCTCCCCAGCCTTCCCCTGGGATCTATCCCACTGGCATGAGTGGATTCATGGCACTAGGACTTCAGCAGTAACAGTGAGTACTCATCTTTTCTGCTTAAAATAGAACTGGGCTGGGATTGTAATCTTCCTGGAAATATCATGTATTAACACTTAGCTCCCCACCCCTCATCCTGCCAATGCACTTGGCACGTTAACTGGAAAAGTCCTAAGAGACATTTTTCACAGGAAACAGTATTTTCATGTCATCCACAAGTAATTTCAACTGTACTTAATGTAATAAATTATTCCAGAGTCTCTATAAATAAACACAGAGTAAAAATTAAGAAGCCAATGGAAGGGGTAGGGGGATGATAGCTAAAGGGATGTGGCTCGTATTTGAGATGATAAAGATATTCTAAAACCGAATGCTGATTGCAGCACATGTTGGTGGATATACTAAAAACTATTAAATTGTACACTTTAGATTGGTGAAATGTATAGTATGTGAGTTTTATATCAACAAGGCTGTCTTTGAAGAAAAGCAATGGAATCTGCAAATAAATACTTGTTTAGAGCCTCACGGTTTTCAAAGATGTTCATAGGCACTATCTCCACTTAATCCTGTGAAGTTGGCGTAATGCTGTTGTTATCTCCATTTTATTATTCCTCAGAGAACTTACGTTATATGCTGAAGGTCACATCAGTGATAAGTGGCACTGGTGGCTCTGTGATCATGACTTCCGTCTTCCTTTCTGACGGATCCCAAAGCCTGTGTCCTTTCCACTCTACCCCATTAGCTCTCTATGCTACTTTTCCATCTCCCATGAAAAGGTAAGAAACACTACCTCTAAAATCAGGATTTTTAAAATCAGTGAATTAATAAAACAGTTTACTAAGTAAGTTAGTAATTAGAAATGGAAGGGAAATTAGTTCCAAAGATAAAGTCCTTCACTGCAAGTGGATGTTATCTAAGGATAACAAAGAAAGTCAATACTCTCTGGTGGAGGTAGGTGGCTGGTCACAAGGGGCAGAAATAGTAATTGGCAAAGGTACCAATGCATTGTGTAGAAAGGGTGGTATGGCCATGCATCAAAGCTCACATAACAAGACAGACATCACTGGCAGTTATCCAAAATCCACAATCAGATAATGGAGCAGATGGGAAGGTGGTAATAATTTCTACAGCTATTGCATTTGCCATTTTGTATAGCCCACAAAGTTATACAAACCTTCTGCAGGCCATTCCCTAAACAGCCTAGTCAAATCCAGAAGCAAAGGAGAACATATTTTCATCTTCTGGACATGCTGTGTTGTTTTAATTACTCATAATTAAAAGGAAGTAGACTAACATCTCTTCTACTTCATCAATCTTAAGTGATAAAAAAAGGGGGAAAGTTACCAATGATTCACCTAGGTCAGATCTTGCCAATCAAAGAATGACAGTGTCGAGTTATATCGGTACTCATGTTATTTAAAGTAATAATATCCTATGTGCTTCCTGATGTTTTAGGTATTGCAGTAAGAACTTTTGCTTTTGTACCTGAAATATTTTCAGACAAAATGATAATTCTGATTAGGGCAAGCACCTGCCCTAGTTAACTAAGACATGTACTGTTTACTGATCAGAATTTTTGATAGTATCAAAATCAATAACTTATGCTAATGTTAACTTCATGCTATTCATACATTGTTAATGCTCAAGTTGCATTACACTTTTAGTTCTTCTATATACGACTTATTCTTCATGCCCCATGTCATAAGTTTTCATAAATTTTTTTCCTCTAAGAAGGACCCCAAATATAGGAAAAGCTTATACATAAGATACTCACTAAAGTCACAAAAGCAGAGTGGAAAGTAGACAGAAAACAAAGAACATCTAGAAAGCAAAATGGGAATGCTAGGGCAGCCCATATGCCTGCTTCCCACCTCTCACTTCTCTCTTCAGTAGATAATAAGCAAGCTCAAGCTTGGGATGCAAGGGTAAGACCCAGGTCACGCCTCAAGGAGACTCGCCTCTTATTTGTTTAAAACTGTTGGCAATGTTTTTGAATCAGCTGTTGAGTCTGGCTTCTTTAGGAGTGCCAGGTTCTGTTTATCCTCAGAATATTCAAAATCTCTTATTACAATGAAATATTTCTCAAAGACAGAAGGACTGCAGTTTCCTCAGATGTTGTCATTCTCATCTGGAGGAAAGACTTTCAACATCTTGAGAGTCAGTGTCCAGTTATGTGAACTTTGGACAAGTTATATAAAATGTCCAAGACATGCCCCACTCACCTATAAAAGGAATACGAGGAAGTAACTTGACAAACCAGCATGCACTATAGATATATAGAGATATATGGCTGTCCAATTATGGAAGGACCCAGTGGCCACAAACAAGGTCCCGCCGGGCTCTGGTTTCTGGGCACAGCTCAAGTGGAGCCTGCCTGGGGAGAAACCCCTGCTGTGGCTCATCATGTGGACCCAAAGGGTTCAGTTACTAAGGTGGGGAGCATCCTCCTCTTCCACCAAACACTCAACCTAGGAAGGATTCCACAATTCCCATGTCAACCAGTTGAGAGGACAGGAAGTGCTTCCACTTTAAGGCAGAGACAGAGGAAGGCCAGGTCTAACAATGAATGAAGCAACCTAAAAAGAGAAGGAAGCCAACAGTGCTGTGAAAACACAAGAGCTCTGATGTTGTGGTCTAAGTTTATTTGGAACTTACCAAAAGATTAAATGTGCTTAGATGAAAGAACAATTTTGGCACATGGCCATAGCATTTTTCTATGAAAGCGATCCCCTTGGAACACACTGCATCAGTATTACTTACATGAGCACAGAATAGGACAAACACATGTCTGAGAACCACCGGCACATCTCCGCTCTTACAAAATGTCCTCTGAGTATACACTCTCCATAAAAAGTCAACCTTGATATAAATCCTCAACCAAGGTGTTTATTTTAGTAAGGGTTGGGTTGTGTAAGATTCTCCTTGGGAAAAATTAAAAGACTTTTTTTTTTTGAAGTTCAGCTTTCCTGAAAGTTGATAGCCTAGACAAAAAAGCCAGTTTTATAAATGATTCCTCAGTAATGCAATACTGAAAAAACAAACCCCACGGCTACAACCTGCAATGTAGCTCTAAGCTGGGACTGTCATGCTTTTCCACACAATGAAGACAGGACAGCATGCTTAGCGGCAGCTGTTCACCTCGTGTGGCAGACTGGCCACTTCCTGTGCTGGTGTAGAGTCCACCCAGACAATTTTGCTGTTTATATTCTTCTCTATTTCATTCCAGTTCCAGTATTTACTTGGCTCAACTATCTTTTGCTGGGTGTTAGAGGTGCTGGTAGTTGCTGCGTATTTTCCAGTTCTTGACCTTTATTTTCTAAATCATCCAGATTAGTAAATAGACCAAGTTTACTAGGGCTTGGTAGTGTTTACTTCTGATAATGACCTTTAAGCCTCTCCATTCAGAGAGGAGGTCTCTATGGGACACTGCAGTGACTCACAACCATGGAATGGCACCCGAAGAATACAGAATAGGGGCAGGGGAGACATTCATGACACTTGAGGATGTTCTGTGGGTTGTCCTTTTGCTGCCATAAATAAGACAGCACTGGAACTCAATGACTTTCAATATTAGAGTAAAGAATCTAGACCTGAGGAATGAGCTGGCATTCTATATAAATGGTCTATATATAGGACCAGAATGTCTTAAGAAACAGGAGTGGATTTAGCAAGGAGGCTGGCAGAAAGCCCAGGTCCGGAATAATGAGAGCCTGAATTTGGGTGCAGTTGAGAGAAGATGGAAACAAAGATGGAAAAGGAACTGTAGGAAGACATTTGGCAGGATGTGAGAGGGTGAAACCCTGGGTGACAAGTCTCGGCTGCTGAAGGAACACTGTGATGCCCCCAATAGAGAGGGAAGTAGAGGGAGGTACCACTGCCTAGTATTCGTTCCAAACACTAATGTTTGCAACATGGAGGGGCTTGAATTATTCCAAACCATTAAGCTTCCTTATCATACAAGGTATTTTTTCCTTTTATTATTATTTTTAATTAAAAGGCTTTTTTGGGGAGCAGTGCTGGGTTTATGAAAAAATTGAGCATAAAATACACAGAGTCCCATATATTCCTCCCCCTTATACCCAGTTTCCCCTATTTTAACATCTTGCATGAGGGTGAAACATTTATTACAATTGAGGAGCCGTAACTGATCATTATGAACTGAAGTCCATAGTAGACGCTGTGGTTTGTTCTTGGTGGTATACATTCTATGAATTTTGATGAATGTATCATGACACGTATCCACCATCACAATATGGTGCAGAAGGGTGTCACTGCCCGAAACATCCCCTGTGCTCCATCTATTCATCCCTCCCTCCTTCCTCCCCAGCCCCTGGTACCCACTGATCTTTTTACTGTCTCCACAAGTTTGGCCTTTTCCAGAATGTCATACAGTTAGAATCATACAGTGTATATAGGCTTTTCACATTGGCTTCTTTCACTTAGCACAATGTGTTGAAGTTTCTTCCATGTCTTTTCATGGCCTGATAGCTCACTTATTTTAATCGCTGGATAATATTCCACTACATGGATATAGAAATCTTTAATTTTTTAACATTTAAAAATTGGAAGACACAAAAAAATACAAGCCACAAAGGAAAAATCTAATAAACTAGATTTCATCAAAATGAAAAATTCTGTTCA